TCTGCCTGTGTTTAGTGGGGAGACCCTGTAATAGCCAATGCCACCAACTTCACAGGGCCACAGAAAAGGCTTCTTTCTGTGACACACTGCCCACCAGGCTGTTGTTCATTTGCCTTTAGTAAAGTATTTGAAGCACATAGAACTGTAGGTAACGTTATCCGGAGTCTCCTGTGTATGTGACCAAGCTCACAAAATAGAAAACATCTTACAGATGGAAACCTGTCAGGTGCTCGCCACAATCCTTATAGGCTTTGACCATGTTAAGATGATCAGTTTTTTTTCTGATCATGATATGTATGTATGTATGTATGTATTATGTATGTATGTATGTACGTATGTTTGCTTTTCTATTTCAAACTTTGTGTGTAAGTTTCATTCTGTAGCTTGTTTTTTCTCCCCTGATAGCATTCCCCATACATTTTGAGGTATATCCCCATCGATTGTTCTAGTCTCTTCATTTTGAGTGATTTTTCTTTGAGTTTGGCATGATTTAGACCTACTATGAGCACCATGTATGTGATCGTTATTTCGTCTCTTTGAACACATACAAGATTATTTCTGAAGTGTCTGCCTGGGAGGACAGCTGCCTCTATGTCAAGTATCGCTGCCCTCAGTCTTTCCAGGCTTTCCAAACACTCTCCACCTGTTTATTTCCGTCCCCATCAGCAGAGAAGATGAATTCATGGTACTCATCTTTGCCGGAATTTAATGTTGTCTAGCTGAATATCCTTGCTGATCATATAAGTGCAAATGCTGTGATTACTTTCCCTGACATTGAGGTTGAACATCTCTTTATGTTTCCTGAACATTTGGAATTTCTGTCATATGAATTATCTATTTACCTTTTTTTTTTAATGCAGAGTCTTACTATGTTGTCTTGGCTGGCCTGAGGATTGCTATGTAGATCAGGCTAGCCTCCAACTCATATAGCTCTATCTGCCTCTGCCTCTGCCTCCCAAGTATTGGAATTAAAGGCATGTGTCATCACATCTGGCTTATTTACATCTTTCTATGTGGTTATTTGTATTAAAAATTCATTCCTTAGGCATTCTTCATACATCTGGCTCCGCTATTTGTTGGCTGCAGGTATTATGCTTACTCTGGAATACAGTTCATCCCTTCGACCTTCTTCATGCTGTCTCAGGGCCATGGAGTTGTTTTTGTTTTATTCTAATTTGTGTGAGTGACTGGGAATCAAACCCAGAGCCTTGTGGGTGCTGAACATGTGATACCACCAAGCTGTACCTCCAGCAATAGGAGTTTTAGGATTTCCTGTGACCAAATCGCCTGCCTTTTCTGTTCAGATGTGTGTCTCATAGAAGAGTCACTACCCTCTCTGACGGTGAGAGGTTACTGTTCCGTCTCTTTTCTCTAAAACATCTCAAAATTGTGCTCTAGAAACGTAGGCTTATAATTTATGCAGGGGCCTTTGTGTACGTGGCTTGATGGCTCTTGTTTCACATATTTTTAAATTACGCTCACCTATCTTTTCTTAGTTTTGATGATGAATATGTATTGTTCTCATGAGACCGTTTTTTGTTTTTTGTTTTTTGTTTTTTTTTTTTTTTTTTTTTTTAGTCCAGTTGCCTTTGTAAAATTTCCTGGCTCACTTACACACGGTTTTCCATCACTTTCTGATCTTTCTGACTTGCTGTCTCTCTGTTGTTTGCATCGCTGTTGAGCCCGTGTCTCCACAAGGGCAACCTGAGGCTGCTGCCTGTAGCTTAAGGGTTGTCAGGAGAGAGAGTGGGCACTGATGGTGTGTGGCAGGCCTCAGGGGAGTCCCCCATGCTCCCCACGACCTGACTGGACAGGCTCACATGAGGAAGCCACAGAAGTCTGTTCTTGCCCGCACTCTGTGCAAGCCTGTCTGCGGGCGGGCGGGTGCTCCAACTGACTGTGTTCTTTGTAGCTGATGCTCCGCCCTCAGCCCGCACTCTTTCCCATTACATTTTCTCTGAGAGGAGAGATTAGGACCATCTTCTGAACATGGGGTAGTGTGCTGTTGGTAGTGCACTGCAGGTTGCGTGTGGTCTGCATCGTGGCACACCTCCTTGGGGGAGAAATTGCTGTTAGCCACGTTAATACAGACATGGCGTCACCATCTCACTCACTTTCTCATTCATGAGCTTTGCTCTAGGCTTCCTTTACAGTGTTTGCTCAGGTGCACTCGTCTTGATGCCTGGGTTTCTCTGTTCTGTTCGTGTGACTTCGACAGCAGTGCTGGAGGCAGAGGACACTTGCATTCCCTCCTTGACAGACTCAGTTGTTTCTGATGACAAGGAAGGACGACCTTGCCTGAGTTCTTTGTGCAAACTGGAGAGAAAAGAACCTAAAGTCATTAACAAAGCATGTGATGCCTTTCTAGATTTTAAGTGAGAAATCAAACAAACTTAGCCTGTAAAGATAGAGCTATTTGGGATATAGGATCACTGTGACAGCTATTCAAGTTTACCATTGTCGGTCCGAAGCTGTCATGTGCAAACAAGCAACTTCTGTTTACAAGTGAGCAGACTTGATCCTTCTGCCAGAGTTTGCTGGTGCTCATTTGTTTTCAATCCAGGCTTGTCTACCGAGAAATCTAGTTATCTGACCAAGTGATTTCATAAAACTGTGTTTAGACCAAGGATTTCTATTACCAAGGACCTCTGTGGGCTTTCTCTGAAGAAGTAAGATAAAGTATGGAGGGCTGGAGAGATGGCTCAGAGGTTAAGAGCACTGACTACTCTCCCAGAGGTCCTGGCAACCACATGGTGGCTCACAACCATCCATAATGAGATCTGGTGCCCTCTTCTGACGTGCAGACATACAGGCAGGATGTTGTATTCATAACAAATAAATACATCTTTAAAAAAGATACAGTATGGAAAGAATAATTGCACACCCATTTCAAGTTCATCAAGAGTGCAAATGTCACGCTCAGTTGGGTTGCCTATTAAACTTTATTCCCGCAAATCAGTGTTGATCTAAGCTCTAACTTTGCTTGATCTAAGCAGTGTTGATCCCTGATCCCTTCCTGTGTTTCATCCTCTTTCTGATTATAGATGTCTTCTACATTCACAAGCCATTCAGTACACACACACATACACACAGACACACACACACACACACACACACACACACAGGTGTATGGCAGCAGAGGGTGTCAAATTCCCAGGAGCTGAACTGTGAACCACCCAGTGTGGGTGCTGGGAACTGAACTCTGGCCCTCTGAAAGAGCAGCAAGTGATCTTAACCACTGAGCCACCCCACCCCCTTTATCTTATCATGGTCCCTGAGACCCCAGATCTGAAAAGTGTCTTTCCTTACATCAGTTAATTCCTTTGTATGGTCAACAGAGAAGTGACTTAGTGAGCCTGAGGCCTGCTTTACTGTCTGTTTAGGGACATAAGTTATTGTCCTAAGAAACTAAAACTGTTTTGCCATTGTCATCTTTACTTCTAATGTTAAGATATATATATATATATATATACTGCATATGTGCATATATATGTATATAATACACACAGAAAAAGAACTAGCATACTTATATAGGAAAAGACTTCGGGAAATTTAAAAATCATAAACAAGGATAGTAAACCATTCACAATTCAGTTGCTCGGAGAGAATGATCGTTAACACGTTCATGACCATCTCTTGTGACATTTCTCTGTGCATTTGTACCCACTTAGATTAGCTGTAAAAATTTCACATGCAGGAGCTGATTGCAAAGTAGCTTTAAAAGCTATAGTTTTACTAAAGAACTCAAAATGGGTGTGGGGGGTGTAGAGGGGCCTAATACAGTTCGGCATTATCGTTAATGGCTCTTTGGCCTTCTACTCTTACCATGACCTGCGTGGACAGTCTCTGTGGTGAGCTTGAAGTACTTTGTACTTTTCTGTTCTTATCATAGCAAAACTAAGGTGAACATTCTTGTGTGTTTCTCCTGTCACGTGGACTATCTCTTCAAGATAAATCCCTGTGCTATCAGCAGGGTTAGAGTGTTTGTGTGTGTGTGTGTGTGTGTGTGTGTGTGTGTGTGTCCATTTTTGTGTTTAATCTTGGTACTGGGGAGATTTTATTCAATTATAACCGCCCCAAAGTTAGTATTTCATATCATCACCAATAGTAGGAAAAGTGTCTCCCTCCCTCCTTTCCTAGCTACCTCCACCCCCTCACTCCCCCACCCCCACTCTGTTACTCTCTGCATTGGTCCCTTGATACAGGATCAGCCATAGTCTTCTGTTTGTAGCTCAGAGCTCTGGGGTTAAGAGTGTGCACTGCTGTCTCTGGCTTTCTGCTTGGGTGCTGGGATGCAAACTCAAGCCCTCATGCTTGCATGAGTGTTCTTACCCACTGAGCCATCTCTCCACCCACAATGGACTTTTTTGTCCTGGGGTTTTGAGACAAGGTCTCCACAGAGCGCTCTGGCTGTACTGGAACTCACTATGTAGCCAAAGCTGGCCTTCAACTCACAGAGATCCTCCTGCCTCCGTCTCTGCCTCTCTAGTGCTGGGATTAAAGGAGAACACCACTGTGTCCAGCACCATCTTGGATGATTAATTCTAAACAGATCATTTATCAGGTTCTCAGCCCCCTTTATGGTCATCATCACGGAAATTACAGATTTCTTTAAACACCTGCATAGCTTTTACAATATGTATATATGTACGTGTGTCAAAAGACTCTACTAGCTATTTTCATGAAAATGAGACAATTTAGTATTCATGATGACCCAATGGAGCCGGTACTGTTGTTACTCTTCATTTATAGGTGAGGGAGCTGTGTACACGTGATTAGAAGTCACAAATCTGGTAAATGGAAAGCCAGTACTTAAACCTTCTGGTTATTCCAGAATCAGTCATCCAGACCATCATGCTTTGCTTCCTGTTAGAGGAAAAGCCTAGCTTGCAAGGAGACAAGTCTGGGAACCAGGGTCCGAGAAGCAAATCAGGTCAAGTAGAGGCAGAATGGCAGCTCACTTAAAAAGAATCCCTTTATTTTTGGTTTTGTTTTGTTAGGGTGTATCAAGGTCAGAAAAGATCAAAAGAAGCTCTGCCCTACTATCAAAAGGCTTTGGAGTACACGGAGATCACCAAAGACGAAAGGAGTCTCGAGTGTGTACCAGTACTAAGAGAGCTGGCTGGAGTGGAGCAAGCCCTGGGACTCCACGATGCCGCTGTCAATCATTTCTCACGGGTAAGGCGCAAGACACCGGCCACCAAAGCTGTGCTAGCCACAAGAGCCACAGGCAATGCCTGGCCCCGTCATCTGCTGACGATAATTAAAACACTTGGTCAGCATAGATGTTTGGCAAAGATTTTCTTATTAGAAAGCTGAGCAGGTGAGTGCCTGACACAGGTCCCTGCTGCTAACCACATGTTCCAGGGACAGCCTGAGGTTATTTCTCACGTCACATGTAGAACTCAAGCCCGCTTCCCAGGTGCAGGTTTTTTATCTTTATCGATTCATTTAGAGCTTATGCTACTAAACTGACTATTATTTTAATTATGTGTATGTGTGTCTCTGTGTGTGTGCACATGTGTGTGCCCTCGGAAGCCAGAGGCATCATGTCCCCTGGAGTTGTGAGACACCTGGCATGGGTGCTGGGAACCCAGCTCAGCTCCTCTGCAAGAGCAATGTACTCTCATAACTGCTAAGCCATCTCTCCAGCCCTGTGACCAGGCCCTTTATTTACACTATAAAACCTTTGCCTGAAGACATTGAATGGTGTACTGTTAGTCGTTATTCTACCTACTCATGGTGAGGTTCCTCAGCAAGTGTCTTTTGGGGTTCTCCAAAGAAATATAATATGTATAGCAAAGGAGGGATGAGGAGAGCAGGAGAGAATTTTTAAGGAGCTGGTTTACATAATTTAGGCACTAGCAAGCCAGATATCTCCAGGGCAGTACAGGAAGGCTGGAAATGGGAAACTACAGTGTATTTTCTCTTAAGGTCAACTGATTGGCTGAGGCTTATTCGTATGGTTGACAGTAATCTTCTTTCCTTAAAGCCGACAGTGTTAACTGTCTATAGAATACAGTCTTGAAACATCTGGACTGGTGTTTGACTAAACAAGTGGTCGCCAGAACTGCAGTGGTGACCCCTGGAACTAGCCAGCATGGGGAGTCAGATAGCTGTGTGTCATATCATCTGCTCAGAGCACCCTTTCCCGTTTTTCTAGAGCTTAAAATACGTACTAACCACTCCTGTTATTTCCATTGAGATAATAATGACACGGTACTAAGAATACATTATAACTATGTCTCTTAAATTTTGTCTGACAATTTACACTCCCACTCACAGCATGTTGGAGTGCCCCAACCGCTCACTTTATCTGGATCATCTCTTTTAATCATTAATACCACTGTGTAACGTATTATTTCCAGCTTATAGATAAGGAAGACAAGAATTAGAAAGATTGAGTGATGTGCCCAAAAATGCATACCCCCAAAAAGGCATCACTCAGATTCAACACAAGCATTAAAAAAAGCCAAGATTCTTCCACCTGATATGTAGAGGTAGACTAGGGAGGCTGTGCCAAGCATGGGAAGAAAGAACTCACTCACTGAGATAGCAAAAGCAGAACTTGAGGTGGTTTTGCAAAAGGATGAAGATACTGGGGACAGAGGGATGGAGATAGTTTGAGACAGGTTTAGAGGCATTGTAGATAGGACATAGAAATGAGGTGTGGTGGGGGCAGGAAGGAACCAAAGCAGACTCTCAGAATTCTGGGAGTACGGGCCACCAAGGGCGTGCTGATACTATTTGCAGGAGAGGTAGGATGAGCAGGTGACAGAGGGAGGTAGACTCCAAGTTGGAGGATGAATCCGTGATGCCCATGAGGCAGGCAGATGCGAATGACAGGGGTAGTTAGAGGGAACTGAAGCAAAGGGACACGCCCACCTGGACATGGTGGATGCCTCGGGAGAGGCTGGCTTACCTTAGTACCAGTTTCTAAACTACTGAAGGATGAGGCAGACTCTTCTGAAAAAGCCTTCATAAAAGTTGAGACAAAGATTGGCCACTCAAGTTAGAATCAACATCTTGACAGCATTGCACCCTGCTGTGTGAACACAAAATGTCTCTCTGTGTGTCTTTTAAAACTCCCTTTCCTCACAGTTGTAGTTTTGTGGTTTTGTCACATGGATATTCCACTTGTTTTGTTAGATTTCAGTTTGTAATAAAATTTAAATGAAGTTATAGTAAATATTTCAATTTGTACTGATGATAATGATAATGATTTTATGTTTTTAATTTTAAATTCCTCCTCGTCTGTTGGTGGATATATGGAAACAGTCAGTTTTTACCTTGCTATAAGTACTTCTTAGGTCCAGGATTTAAACAAAAAAAAATCCTTTCAGAATTTCAGTGTACCTCATCTGCAAGTAAAGACAGTTTATTTCTTCATTCCCAATCTGTATTCCTTTTATTTCATTTTCTTGTCCTATTGCACTGTTCAGAACTCAGTGATATGGGGCATCCTTGTCTTGTTTCTGACCTCAGAAGGAGAGCTGCAGGTGTTACAAAGTTACAAAGTTTCCTCCTTTCACAGCTTGCTGAGAGTTGAGTTTTCTTCTTCATCATGAATGGGTATTGGATTCTGTTGACTGCATTTTCACATGTACTGATATGATCCTGTGATTTTTTTCTTTAGTTGTATTCATGTTATAGAGTATATAAGTTACCTTTCAAATAATATTCCTTAAACTTGTTCATGACTATATCTACTTGGAAAACGTTGTTTTTGTTTACCAGTTTCTAAAACTCAATCTACCAAGTGAAACCATGTTCAGATTAATCCAGCAAGGGCCATAACTCATAGCAAAACCCACTGGCATGGAAGTGGCTTCTTCAAGACCCAGTATTGCCGGTGTGTGTGCAAAGGTTTGAGTTCAGTTTAAAGAAGCATCACCAAGCCCTGTTCCATAGTGTGCTAGTGCAGCCCGGAGTCCCTGGGCCTTCCTGGAGAAGCCATGTGTGCTTAAAAAACACACAGGCCAGTTAAAGCTGAGCATGGTTACAATGTTTCACAGTGTGGTAGCCATGCCAATGTGGATTTTTTACTTGAGAAGGCAACTTAATAGTCTGTGAGACACTAGAGCTAGGCAAGCCACAGTTTAGGAACCATTGGTTTACAGAAATGCACAAAGGGAATCACATATGAGTGTCATGGGCTTCACTCTCAGGAGACCTTGGCACTATGTGAATGGGAAATGAATTAGCTGGTGCCTCTGCTTGTGAGACCTGTATTCACCATTTATAGTACTTTTCTGTATTTTTCCTATCTATAATGATATATAAGCATACACACACACACACACACACACACACACACACAGAGTCAAAGGGATAACTGCCTACTTTGGAGGGGCAAGAATACAGCCCAGCAGGTAAAAATGTTTGCCACCATGCACAAAGACCCGAGTTCAATCCCTGGAACTCATATGGTGGAAGTAGGGAACCCACCTCCACAATTTGTCCCCTGACCTCCACATACAGGCCATGGCATGTGCCTGCCCATATACTTGCACATATGTGCATATAAGTTATGTCAAAGCATAACAAAATTTTAAAACAGTTTGAAAATATCATGGCCCTTATTCCTAGATATTTCGGTGTGTTTTCTGTAAGGACAAGGATAGCCATCGTACAGCTATGAAGCTTAGGAGGGTTAACATTGGCACAGGTCACACTCCACTTTGCTGGTTATCTCCATTCTGCCCCTCGTGATTTTTCATCCAGTACAGATCTAGTAAGGATAGCATGTTGCGTTAGGTATCATGATTCCAGTATTTAATCTGGAATAGTTTCTCACCAGACTCTGCCTTTTATGACATTGAAATTTTAATATATATCCATATGTACCAGCTTCTTGTAGACTGTTCTCAGTTTGGGTTTGTCTGATGTCTTCTCCTGACTCAATCTGAGTGATATGTCCCCAGACAGAACACTACAGGGGGATGTATATTGCATCCAGAGGCACAGTGCCCATCATACTGATGACATTCATCACCCTGTCATGATGACACATCGTTTCTCTACTGCATAGTGACTATTTCCTCTCTTTTATCTAATTAGCATTCTGTATTCTGCTCTGTCAAACAGTTCTCTCTAGGTTTAGCATCTATTGATAACTCTTTCCTAGCACATTCTTAACAGCGATAGTTTTCTGTTCTATCATTTCTACTGCATCTATCAGTTGACATTCTGCTGTTAGGAATAGCCCTCACTTCCTCTCCACCAAGTAAGTTACATGCATACATACATACATACAGCAGTGTGGCAGATAGAACTAACTGGATATGGCATTGACTTTTGAAGCCTCAAAGTCCACTCCCAGTGACACACCTCCTCCAACAAGGTCACACCTCCTAATCCTTCCCAAACAGTTCCACCAACCAGGGTCTTAGCGTCAAATATATGGGCCTATGGGAGCCATTCTCATTCACACCATCGCAGAGTGAGGCTCCCAGGTCAAGTGCAGTATGCTTTGCAGTTTTATAGTATTGCAAAATTAATGGCCATTTTTCTCTCATTTTTAGCTGTGCTGTTCTTCTGAGTTACCTCTCAGGGGCACGTGCCATTTGTATTTCTACCCCTGTGTATAGGAACACCAATTTCCCCACAGCCTGTTTCAACCAAGTGTATTGTCAAGCCTTCAAGTTAGTTCTAATCTGATGGATGAGAAATGACATTTCAATATAGCTTAAATTTGCATTTCTATTTTTAAAACTGGAGTTGAATATCTTTTCATATGTTAAAGGCATCCTGGTTCTTTCTGTGAATTGTCATTTTTTGTGACTTATTCATATCATTTGCCAATTTATAAATAGAATTTTTTGATCTAGCTTTTCATATCTGTTAAAGGTTCTTTATATATTACAATATTGATTCCAGTATCCATGATAAATGTAAATATTTTCATCCAGATTGACATTTGTTTTGAAATTTTGATCATGATTTTATTGAGATTATTTATTTAAACAGTAAAACTACTCTCTTAAAGCATGCAATTTAGTGGTGTTTATATTTACAGACTTTTGCAACCACTGTCTAGTTCCATAGATTTTTTTGAGAAACTCTGCAGACATTAGCAGTAATTTTCCATTCCCTCCCCCCTTAGCAAATGTCAATTTACTCTCTGTGTGTTTTTGCCTGTTCTGGACATTTATTATAAACAGTCTGACTTAACATAT